CTATCCCCCACTTCTGAAGCTTCAATTTTTTTAACCTCGAGGGAAACAGGAGCTAGGACAGTTAAAACACACACACACACACACACACACACACACACACAATTTAAATTTGTTGGGAAACTAAAACGTATTTTAAAAATATTGTTAAATGTGGTAAATTTCACAGGCTAAATAAACAGAAAACAAACAAGGCAAAAAATTTTACTTTATAGTGTCATTATTGGTGATGTGTACAAGTGTGCATGCAGGAGCCTGTGCCATGGAACACACATGAAGTCAGAGGATAGTCTTCAATTCAGTTCTCACCTTACCTTGGCTCCCAGAGAGCAGATTCAGTGTATCAGGCTTGCAAGCTTACTACTCACTGAGCTATCTCATCACCTCTATTTATATTATTACTTGATTTTCCCAAAAAAAACAGGGTTTCTCTGTGTTGCAGCTCTGGCTGTTCTGGAACTTGCTTTGTAGACCAGCCTGGCTTCCACCTCACAGAGATCCACCTGCCTCTGCCTCCCAAGTACTGGGATTAAAGGCATGAGCCGCCACTGCCTGACATTACTTGTTTTTTGTTTGTTTGTTTGTTTTAAAGATAGGATCTCATTGTATCACCCAGGGATACCTCAAACTGGCAATTCTCCTGCCTCTCCCAAGTAACACCAACCCAGCTTGTTATGAACCATACCTTGAGATAATTTTTGTTTGTTAATATGAAACCCTTCTGTGTTTATTGAAAGTTCAGCTTATGTAATATATCTTATTTTTGAGCTGTTGGTTCAAGGGTCTGTTCTGAATGTTGGATGTTTAGTTGTTGTGGCTGCCAGAGCATGGAAGGGCACCTTACCAGTCAGTGTGGGTCCAGTTGTGTGGGTGTGTGTCCCATAGGGAGTTTTAGTGTAAGGCATCCGCCAGGTGTAATAGCACACACCTGTAATTCCAGCATTCAGGAGGCAAAGGCATGCAGATCTCTGAAAGTTCGAGGCCAGCCTGGTCTACCGAGTAAGTCCCAGGGTTCTCTTGTTGGTTTTTATTCTTTGCTCTTACTATTTGGGCTCTTTGTTCTTTAAGGGACCTATCACCCCAGCTCCCAAATAAATCACACATGGAGGCTTATTCTTACTTATAAATGCCTGGCCTTAGCTTGACTTGTTTCTTGTCAGCTTTTCTTAGATTATTCCCATCTACCTTTTGCCTCTTGGCTTTTACCTTTCTCTTATTTCTGTCTTTTCTTTCCTTCTTATCCCTTATCAGGCTCCTGACATCTTCCTTTCCTTGTTTTATCTTGCTCCATCCTCACTTCCCAGATTTCTCCTTCTGTTCTGTCTGCCTGCCAGCCCAGCCTATCCTTTCTCCTGCCTTGCTATTGGCAGCCCTTTATTAGACCATCAGATCTTTTAGACAGGCAAAGAATCAGGGCTTCACAGAGTTAAACAAATGCAATATAAAATAATGCAACACATCTTTGCATCATTTAAACAGATGTTCCACATGAATAAACAAATATAACACCCCTTAAATAATATTCCACAGCACTTTGTAGAGAGACCCACCTCTCTCAAAAAAAAAAAGACATCATCAGCTCCTTAGAGTATACATGCCACCACCTCTCTCAAACTGAACAGACATGAGTATGCATCGAAACTGTCACCTCGTGCCACTGTGACCTATTTGGTTTGCTGAACTAGGTAGCTACTGAACTTTTAGAGATGAGGATCAGGCTCCTGCTGGTGTTGCCTATTCTTTGCCTAGGAGAAAGGGAAGTCCCTGGGGCCTCCAGGAAAGGAAGCTGACTGAATCTCCCCAGGCTTTGATTTAACTGAGTACATGTTTTCACAGCATCCTTAAATCAGTGTCCTTTTAGGTCTTCTGACTCTTAACTCACATGGCTCTGGGGGATGGCAGTGTGGAAGATTACTGTCTTCAGGTGGCCTGAAAGCCTGTGGTCCCTAGAGTTGTGGCTAATCATTAGTGAAGTAAGGTGTCTCATCTTTCACTTGGAAGCATCAGGGAATTGACCGGGGTTGGTGGTTTTTGTTGTGGGTTTTTTTGTTTTTGTTTTTGTTTTTTTGCCTGTGTGTGTGTGTGTGTGTGTGTGTGTGTGTGTGTGTGCCTTAGATGACAATAGAAAGCTTTAATTTCTCAGATTAGATTTGAGTGGGCTAACAGTCTTTGCCCTAGAACTGTGGCTGCAATTTCTTATCTACTGGAAAGCAAGTTGTAAGATTTAGCTGGAAGAATTAATCAAAAACAAGAGAGCAGTTTGTCTGGTGTTCTGACTCTGAGATACGCTGGAATCTGGAATACAAGCAGTCACAGTGGCCTGGAAAGAGTGGTTAGTGAAACCTGCTGCAGCTTCGGGTTTTCTTTAGATTTTTTTTTTTTTTTTTAAACCACAAACTGAAGACCAAAGAGACCCTTGTAACATGCTAGGCTGTGGGTAAGAAAGATGATGGTCCAGGAACATTTGTTGGTTTTGAGGAAGCTATGCTTCCGAGAAGAAAATTCAGCTCTCTCATACTCATCTAAAACTAAATAATTTGTTTGTCTTTTGGTGTTGTTTGAGGGACAGAAACTTGCTATGTAGTACATATTGCCTTTGAACTCTGCTAGTTCATTGGTGTTTTTGCCTATGTGAGGGTATCGGATCCTCTGGACCTAGAGTTAAGATTTATTATGTATACAACATTCTGCTTCTATGTATATCTGCACACCAGAAGAGGGCACCAGATCTCATAATGAATGGTTGTAAGCCACCATGTGGTTGCTGGGAATTGAACTCAGGACCTCTGGAAGAGCAGTCAGTGCTCTTAACCTCTGAACCATCTCTCCATCCCCCCCCCCCCCCCCCCCCCCCCCCGGCTTTGAATTTAACAGTCATCCTACCTAGGCCTTCTGAGACAAAATAGGTTCTAATCTGTTTTGCTCATTAAACACTCAGGTAACAGAAAATGGATAAGAGGAGACTCAGAGTGAGTGTGTGCATGTACATAAATTAATGTGAATCCAATGATCAATCTCTGGTGTTCCTCCATCTTGTTTTTTGAAATGGAATCTCTCATTGAGGGCTTGCTGATTAATGAGGGCTGCCTGGCCATAGGGCCTCTGGCATCAACCTATCCCTTCTTCCCCAGAACTAAGATTACAAGTACCCTCTGCCATGCCTGGCTTTTTTAATGTGGGTCCTGGGGATTGAACTCAGATCCTAATGCTTGCAAGACAAGCACTTTACAAGCTGAGCTATTTCCCCAGCCACTTATGTTTTCTCTATATTGCAAGATATCTTAGCATTTCAAGGACCAGTGGGCCCCATAAGACCTCAGCAGCAGGTTCCTAATATGATAATGAACAGCAGCTGGTAGCAGCTCCTTTAATGAGTTGCCTAGATTAGCCAGCACCTGTGTCCCCTTGCTTCCTCCTGGACTGAAGTCACCAGGAAAGGGATGGCATGAAAAGCTCAGGCCTGGCTGAGTTGGGTGGATATGGTGTGCTGTGCTTCGTGATGGTAAGTTACTGTCAGGGTGGTCTGCCCTCCATAATGACCTTCTGTCATTTCTCATTCTCCCCAGTTTGAAGAACATGGTTGTCTTCACATTGCATAAGCTTCTTGGTGTTTAGGAACAAAGCCTAGCTGGGCTTGGGAGAAGAGAATTACAGTTTAGTACACACTGTTTAATAGATGATGCGAGGAGCTCCACATGAGAACTCTACCCAGCCTACTTTATACTGGCCTTATTTTAATTGTGGATTTCAGTGTCTGGCTACAGTTCCTCTTCAGAATACATTGAGGGTTATTCTCTGGTACCCCTCTACTGTGAAGGACTATAACTGACAGCCTTACCATTGTGGTATTGAATACAGACCAGAGGACTTCCCTTTGACCTTCATGAACCATAGGCTCCAGTGTGGAGAGGCTAATTTGTGGGCTTGGGCCTTACTGGAGAATGGAGTTTCTTCTCTTAAGAAGACAGGCCATGAATTAAGGACTGAGTCACAAGAAATGCTCAAAAGTACTGCCTTTCTGCCATGTATTGTTTTCAGGCTGTCATCTGGTAGGTGGCTCTTGTTTTTGTTTAAAAGGACAGGATCCAAACACCAGCACACCTATTTTTCAGCTGTTGTTTATGCCACTTTCCTGGAATGGTCACAAGGTCTTTTTTTCTTTTTCTGGAGACAGGGTCTTTCTGTGTAGCCCTGGCTGTCCTGGAACTCTCTACTTAGACCTGGCTGGCCTTGAATTCATTGAGATCCACTTGCCTCTGCCCCCTGAGTGCTGGAATTAAAGGCATGTACCACCATGCCTAGCCACACAGTCTTTTATTGTTGTTTTGGGAGACAGGGTTTCTCTGTGTAGCCCTGGCTGTCCTGGAACTAGCTCTGTAGACTAGGCTGTCCTGGAAATCACAAAGATCCATCGGTCCTTAGTTCAATTCCCAGCACCCATATTGTGGCTCACAACTGTCTATAACTGTAGTCCATTGGGATCCTATAACCTCTTCTGATATGCAAATGTAGACAAAACATCCACTTACATATAAACATGCACACACAAATATCAAAAAAAGAAGGCAGTTCAAGGTAATTCTTTACTTACACAGCAAAATCAAGCAAGCCAGGGCTACATGACATAATGTATTAGGGCAGATGTTGGAGACTTACAGGAAAAGTCTTGTCAACCCACCCCTTTCAGCCACCTGATGGCCACTAGTGATCATATTCCAAACTATTTCTTGGTTCTGTGTAAGAGCCTGGCTGGAAGAATTGTGGAGGGTAAGATCCTAACAGACAAACCCTCAAACAGCTCACAGTGTTTTGAAGAGTAGCCTGTGCCTTCTGATGGCTCCTCTCTCCTGCTGCTGCTCTGTCTTCAGAAGAAGCCTTGCTCATTGGGACAGCAGCTCTCAGACTTAGAACCCCAAGAAATACATTTTGTAGGCATTTTGTTAACAGAAGTATGTGGCACCCACTCACCATAAACTGTCTTTGTGTCTGTCTTTTGGCCCCAGGAGACCTGTAGGAAGTGTCAGGGACTCTGGAAAGAGCATAATGGCCTCACCTGTGAAGAGCTGGCTGAAAAGGATGACATCAAGTACCGGACATCTATGTGAGTAAATATGATGGCTGAGCTGGTCCTGCAATAACCACAGGGTTCTATGGGAAGTGCCATCTCAAGCCACCCATGCACAGAGGAGTCTTAGGCAGGACCCTAACCCCAGAGCCTATTTCTTTGTTTCTACAAACTATAGTTATTCAAATGTCAGGTGGTACCTATGGAATGTCTGGCTTATATGTACTCTATTAAAAATCAGCCACCCCCTTCTCCTGTCTAGCCAGTAAGCAGGTATAACAGGTCTTCATAGGTGAGATTGCCCTGATATTGCTTCTGCCTGTGTCATAGAATACTGGCAGCCTGAGACAGTGAGTAGAGTTGCCAACCTCCAGAAGGCAAAAGACCTTATCAATAATATTAATAACCCGCACTGTGTGGTACTCCCTGTGTGATGAGAAATTTCAATAAAAATGCAGTCACTTAAGTGCTAGAGAAGACTCTTTCATAAAGAATCCAGCTCTGGCAGGCTCACACTGACTCCCCACTCCTATGTGTGGTGGTATCCTCTGGGTGGTTGTGTATAGGAAAGGAGGAGGAGGATTGGTTATTAGGCAGGCAGCTTTTCCTCAAATTGGAAGCCTGGCACTATATATGGCCTCTAGGTGGTTAACTTCCATGTTCTGCTTAAATATGGAGAGTGGGGATAGGACTTTGTTGCTTAGATGATGAAGTGGAGAATGACGTTTGGGGCAGTTAGAAGTCTCTGGGTCTGCATCACAGATAGGTCCTATTGTCCTCACTTTGCAATCAGGGCAAGGAAAACCCAAGTAGCTTGACAATTGTCACACAGGTAATAAGTGGCATAGCGGGGACTTGGACGTAGGCACATGGCTTCTGGTTGTGCTCTGTGTCATAATAATGTCCCTCATGATACTCTCCTTGCATACAAGGGACTTTACAAATGTGTTTAAAGTCATGGACCTTGTGATGGGGAACTTCTCAGCATGAACTCATCTGATTGGGGGTTCTTGAAGTAGAATGGCTTTCCTGGACTTGGGAACATGAGGACTTGATCTCCCATTGCTGCCTTTAAAGCTGGAGGGAAGGGCCCTGAGCCAAGGAGTGAGATAGCTCCTAAAAAGCTAAAAGCAACCCTTACCATGCAGCCCCCAAAGAAATGGAAATCTTTATCTTCAATATCAAGGAGCTGGATCTTGGCCAACAGCCCAGCTATGCAGCCAGCAGGCCATGGATAGTTTCTCAGGGAATCTGTAATTGTTTTAGAGTAGACACTCCCATTCTGCTTCTGATAGCCCTGCATACCTGGAGTATGTAGGACCTTCTAGATCAACAGACCTATCAGAGTAGACCATCCAATACAATGTTTGTCAGTTCCAGAATCCAAATTGCCTCCCATATATACTTCACTGTATGTGAAAGATGGTGGAGATACACAGCACACACTTGCTTTTGGGGAGCCTATCCTGATGCAAACCTGGCCTCCCAACCCCCAGAACTTTGTAGAGATGACACCCGCCACTGTTCCATATCAGTGCATATAGATCACCTGCTACTTGAGTCACAGACTGGTATATTGTCTTGGTGTGTGACAGATAAGATCCTTGTCAACTGCTGTTCTCTACCATTGAACAGAAGAAAAAAGCATTTTCCATATCAGTAGCTGTGTGCCAGTTGCCAGAAGCTGTTTATTGCTACAGTAAGAATAGCATCTGGAACAACAGCTGCAGTTATTCTGTACTCTCTCCTAGGGCCATACTTTGTGCAGGCCACACAGGGAAGTAAATAACCTATGAGGAGAATCAAGTCAGTGTGACTATAGTCTCTTAAGATGCCTGTGGGAGTTGGGTACTGGTTTTAGGTAGCTTTATTTTGCCCCCTCACCATGTAGCCCTTTCTTGACCTGGGGGATCCTGCTTGTTGCCATGTAGCAAAAATAAGAAAGCTCAAGGTGTATGCAGGGAAATGCTATGAGGTACTGCTCTGTCTGGGTGAAATATTCTGAGCTTGGTATGGTGGCACAAGCCTATAATCCAAGCACTTAGGAGGCTGAGGTGGGAAGAATACTATGATTTTGAGACTGCGCTGGGTTACAGAGTAACACCCTGTTTCAAAAATACAGACACAACACACACATGCAAAACAAAACTGTGTGGAGAGCTGAATATAGAGCATTCACCTAACTTACAGTAGACTTTGGTATAATTGAATGTTTCTCCTAAAGATTCATGTCCTGGAAACTTTACCCCTAATTTTGTGAGTTGAGGTAGCAGGACCTTTAGTAAGTACTCTTGGGGTGGTGGGAGGCGCGCCTTTAATCCTAGTACTTGGGAGGCAGAGACAAGAACTCTTGTCAGCCTTGTCTGCAGAGCTAGTTCCAAGACAGCCAAGGCTACACAGAGAAACCCTGTCTTGATTCCCCCTCCAAAAAAAAAAAAAAAAGAGGTATCTACCAAAAGGTATTAGGGGCACTACCCTTAGACAAGATTAATATAGCTCTCACAGAACTAAGGTAGTCCCATCAGAATAGGCTATTTAAAAAGAATAAGCTTGCCAGGTGTTGGAAGCATATGCCTTAATCCCAGCATTCAGGAGGCAAATAGATTGCAGAGTTCCAGGACAGCCAGGGCTATGCAGAGAAACCCTGTTTCAACCACAACCACCCCCACCACCACCACCCCCCAAAAAAACAGTAAACTTAAACTTAGACTGGAATGTGGCTCAGTGGTAGAGTATTTGCTGTCTATGCAGAAAAAGAAAGGAGGACTGCCTAGAGGTCAAAACCAGCCTTGGCTGTATATAGTGAGAAGACATTCTCTCACAAAACTTAAAAAAAAAAAAAAAAACTTCCCAAAAATGAGCCCTGCATGATGTTGCATGCATGTGATCCCAGCCGTAGGAAGACAGACAAAGAGAATGACAAATTCCAGGCCAGCCCTGCATAGACCCTCTCAGGCAGAAGAGGGATAACCCTGTGATCTCTTCTGCATTTCTCCCTGCTAGTAGACATCTACATCAAGATCCTCACCACAACCAAGTAGATGTCATTGTTGTGTTCTTGAACTTCCAGAACTATGAACTAAATAAACCTTTTCTTTATTAATTTCCTAGACTCAAGTAGTTTGTTACAGCAATGGGAATCAGTAAAATATATCTTAACTTTGTAATGATGAAAGCTATGATGTATAAATGTGTGTTTGTACATACCTGATACACAAGAAAGGCAGAAGAAGGCTTTAGATCTCTTAAAGCTGGAGTTTTGGATGGTTGTGAACCAAAATGTAGGTGGTGGGAATCAAACCCAGTGTCCTCTTCGATAACAAGTGCTCCTAACCTTAGCCATCTCTCTAGCCACATCTGCTTTTTTAAAAATCCACTTGTATCTTATGAAAATATTTAAGCATCCAACTGGTGGTGCAGCTCAGTGATAAAGTGCTTGCTTAGATGTGTGAGGCTCAGGTGGGATACTTAGCAACACACAAACTTCAGGTGTCTACAGTAGAAATACTGGTGAATTAACACCCAATAACCATCAGCATTTTGCCATATTTGCTTTATCTGTCTGTCGTGCTTGTTTAAAGCCCTGGATATTTTCAAGCAAATCTGTTCTTGGAAATCGAGTGTTTCACCCCCAGGTACTTACTCTTAGTTAGCATTTGCCACTGTCATCATTTACAAAATTTGGCAGTAAGTTTATGTGATGTCTGTTGCCAGATTCATGGCCCCCCAGTTGTCTCAAAAGAATTACAAACAGATCAAGTCCATAAAAGGTCTGTTTTGGCCATAAGTTCACCACATAGCCCAGCTGGCCCCATACCCAAAATCTTATCATGTTAGTGACTTCTGACAAAGACAGTTGGCTACAGATTACATCCTGACATTGACTGCTTTCTCATGATCTTGTCAAACTTGTTTCTCCCTTTATGTCCTCTAGCATAGAGTCAGGTGGCTTTAGTGAGATTTCACAGAGGAGCTGAGGTACTTAGTGTTCATCTGGCCCAGCATCAGATGCTTGTAAACAAATGTTAGGCCTAGATGCCTTGGAATTAATGGCTACATGGCAAGTATCTTTAACAAAAAATAGGCTAGGATTAAAGAGAGCTAGGCATGGTGGCCTATACCCACAGTTCCAGCATTCAGGAGGTGAAAGCAACAGGATCAGAAGTTGTTGTATGGTGATAAATACTGTGTTACTCCCAGCACTCTGGCAAAAGCTTGGAGATCTCAGTGAGTTCCAGGGCAGCTTGGTCTGCAAAGTAAAATCCAGCTAGGACTACACAGAAAAACAATCTCAAAAAGAATAAATTGTCCTGTGAACTTTCCCTGGGGAGATGGGAGTAGGCCAAACTTGGGGAATGAATAAATTCTATAGTAGAACTTCTAGTAATCCATATTATACAGTGAGTTGAAGACCAGAATGGACTAGGTAGGAAAGACTCTTCTCTCAAAAAAAGGGAAAGAAGGCCGGGCAGTAGTGGTGCACATCTTTAATCCCAGCACTCATGAAGCAGCAGGTGGATCTCTATGAGTTCCAGGACAGCCAAAGCTACACAGAAATCCTGTCTCAAAAAACGGGGGGTGGAGAAAGGGGAACAGAAAACCGCAGTAGTCCAAGCTGCAGTTACAGAGCCTCAAAGGATCATGACACTGAAGTGGGAGAGGGTTTGGTGTGTTTTGGTTTTTGCTTGTTTTTTGAGATAGGATCTATGCATAGCCATGGCTGTCCTAGAACTCACTATGTAAAACAGGCTGACCTGGAACTCAGAAGAAGATCGGCCTGCCTCTGCCTCCTAAGTGTTGGGATTAAAGTCATGTGCCACGGTGCTTAGCACACTTAGGAAATCTTTAAGAAGACAAATTAGCAGGACTCTGGCTAATAATAGATGAGGGTATGAAAGTAGATTGATTCAGTAATGATTCTCAGGATTCCAGCCTGAGTGACTAAACCATCCTGCCTAACCAAATCAGGAGTAATAGAGTAAAATGAAGGTTTCACATGTGAACACAGGAATCAGCCTCATGACTCACCAGTTTTTTATCAAAAAAATTAATACACTGAAAGGAAAAGGATGCTACTAAAAATGGTTGTGTATGGAGCTGAAAACAGGACACCCTTCACACTAAAGCAACAATTAGCAGGAGCTGCCAGAGGCAACTGAACAGTCTCCCTGGGGATTTTGTTGGGAGGATTTAAAGACAGACTAGTTGCAACAGCCTGAGATCTAGGAGGCTGTGTGAATGACCAGGGTACCAGGGTGACACACTTCAGACAAATCCAAGAAGACCTTGGGCTTCCACTGTGACCATGCAAATGATAGATAAAAGGCAGGTGGGAATTTAAAGTAACCTTGGCTAGGTGGAAGGAGTGCAGAATCAGCCAGCCAGCCAGCCAGCCGAGATCAGGATAGCACTTGTTTGTTTTCTTTTTCTTTTTCTTTTTCTTTTTTTTTCTGTGTGTTTGGTTCCAGGGCTTAAAAGTATCTTTCAGTTCCAACATTGATTACTCATCATAACCCCACACTATAGTAGACACAGTGCTTACAGAAAGAACTTTTAAAAGCCTCATAACTGCCAAGCCTGCAAGAAGAAGTCTGGTTACAATTTCCAAAATTTGCAAGGCGTTCAAAGAAACTAGGAAAGTGTGATCTATTCACCAGAGGAAAAACTGTGGGCAGAATTATACAAATCCTAAAAATCTATTGTCTTAGAGAGTAAGAAGCCATGGACATAAGAAACCAGTTCCAAGGTGAATAAGCAAGTAGAAAATATCATAACAAAAGACACCATTGAAAATTACAAGAGCTGCAGTGAAAAACTATGAAAATGTAATAACAAATTTAAGCAAAAGAATGGGTCCAAGAGAGCTAGTGTTATAGCTCAATTGGTAAAGGGTCTACCCTGTATACACAAAGCCCTGAGTTGAATTCCCAGCACTTTGCAAAAGCAACTGCAATGGTACATACCTGTAATCCTAGCACTTGTGCTGTCAAAGCTTGAGGATCAGGAGTTTATGGTCATCTTCAACTAAATAGCAAATTTGAGGCCTGCATTAGATTTTGTCTCAGAAGAAAAGAACTCAAGAGGTGACTCCAAAGCACTGGGATTAAAGGTGTGTGCTGCACCACCACCACCCACTAAGACTTTTTTTTTTTTTTTTTTCATGTGTATACACACATGACTTGTAGAGGACAATTTTCAGGAGTCAGTTCTCTCCTTCTATCATGTAGGTCCCAGGACTGGTGGCAATCGCCCCCACCCACCAACCCATCTCACCAGCACTCAGCCTTATGCTTTGAGACAGGAACCTATAACTCACCAATTCAGCAAAACTAGTAAGCCAGCAAATCCCAGGGATCTTCCTGTGTCCACCTCTCCAGTACTGGGCCGAGACACATGCACTGCCACACATGCTTTTACACGAGTGCTGAGAATCTCAATTCAAGTCATTCTTGTCTGTGGCAAGCACTTTACCAGTTGTACTATCTGTCCAATCCTATTAATTTTTTAAGACATTGTCCTAAGCTAATCATGGTATGCATTTATAATCCCCACACTTAAGAGAAAGAGGCAGGGGGGTCTCTATAAGTTTGAAGTCAGCCTTGTCTACATAGTGAGTTTTATGAACCAGCCAAGACTACATAGTAAGGTCTTGGCAAAGGGGGGGGGGGGGGTGTAGAGAGACGGAAACCTCCAAGGATTATTTTCCATTACCCTTGGGTAGTAAAGCACAATAGTAACAGAATCATGGGATGTCAGCTGGCTGTACAGAGGATGTCCCTGAGTCTTCCTGTTGAACATTAGGTTAGCAGACATAGCCAGCCTCAGCTTAGGCTTCTGTCTTCCTGTCCTGCTTCTGGAAGCACATCCTGTGGGACTTCCTGCCTAGTTCACAGACTTCTTTCTGGATAACTCCAATAAAGGCTGCAGCAATGGCTTCTCAGTTCCATCCAGCAGCACATTCTCATAGTAGCAGTCCTTTTTTTGGCATGTGCCCATTCTTGCCCTTTTGATTTGTTGTTATTGTTTTGGTTTTTCAAGACAGGGGTTTTCTGTGTAGTCCTGACTATCCTGGAAATCACTCTGTAGACAAGGCTGGCCTAGAACTCAGAGATCCTCCTGCCTCTGCCTCTCAAATCCTAGAATTGAAGGTGTGCGCCACCACATGGCCTGGCAGATCCTTGAGTCTTAGTGAGCATCATTGAGAAGTGTCTTCACAGTTCCCAAGTAAATAAATTCATTGTCATGCACTACTCTCAGTCGGCAGTAGTAATAAAGTCGCTTTAAATCTGGTCTCCTGGGCACTCTCTTAATCCCAGAACAAGAGGCAGAGACAGGCAACTTGTCTGTAAATTTGAGGCCAGCCTGGCCTACATGGTGAGACCCTGGTTCTAAAACATTAAGCTTGCCCTTCCTGTTCAACAAAATTTAGAAATCATTAGTTCTTCTGTAATGTGAACTGGCTGTAAATTCTTTCAAGCTAAAGTTCTACTTCTTCCATTTCTTGCCACTGAAAGATTGTACCTAAATAAGTAGTAGCCAGTTTTCTCATGCATTTGACTATTTTTAAATGCATGGTCTGGTGTGTAAGGAAGGAACTGCCTCAGTGTTTAAATATCTGTAGTTCAGTGGAAGCACTTCCTGCCTAGATTCACCTCTAGATTGCAGCAAATCCTGCTGAACTCCTTCACTGGTTCATCTTGTAGCTGGCCACCCTTTGTCTCAGTAGCAAACCTGTTTTGACCCTGCCTCCCTTCCCTCTGTCTTTTGAGGGCCTTCAGTGTAACAGAGAAAGGTGGAAGGTTTTGGTTTGTAGTTGGGAGCAGCACTGCAAAATTCCAACACAAGAAGTCCCTGGCAAAAGTAATGTGCCCTCCTTATCAGTTCAAATGGTTCTAGAAACAATCTCACTTTGGGGGAACTGTGGAAGTGGGAACTTTTGACATGAGAAGTGTGTTCTTTCAACAGGGAAATAGTAGACTGACCGTAGAATTGCTCATTCTCAGGCCAAGTGTTCAGAGGCCCAGGTTGTATAAGGTTTGAGCTCCAAGTTCTTAGGTACTAGCTTTTCATAAATAAAATTCTGTTTAAGAAGAAGCTAAGTTTCTTCTCCACATTGTCAGCCTGTAGATACCTAGAACGAAAAAGTCATTTTTCTAAATGATAAGTGCCAGGAATTTTTCCAAATGATTTTAAATCTTACTTGAATTCCAAAAACATCATTAAAATGTCAAAAGTGTAGCTGGGCTTGGTGGTGCACGCCTTTAATCCCAGCACTCAGGAGGCAGAGGCAGGAGGGTCTCTGTGAGTTCAAGGCCAGCCTGGTCTACAGAGTGAGTTCCAGGACAGCCTCCAAAACAATATAGAGAAACCCTGTCTCGAAAAACCGGAAGGGAAAAATAAAGGTTAAAAGTGAGAGAACTGAGTCTCCTGGCAATTAGGAAATTTACAAAAGGTAATACAGGTGAGAAACTTTGAGCCTAGCTCTCTCTCTCAGCCTCCAAAACACAGGCCCATTTCACAGTTTAAATGTCACCAAAAGCCTCAGTCACTACACATGGGGGAAAAAAATATTAATGACCATATTATTTTTCATTCACCTTCCCTGCCAACTCCATTTGTTTCTTTTCTCAGTGAAGAAAAAATGACTGCTGCTCGAATTAGAAAATGCCACAAGTGTGGGACTGGCCTCATCAAATCTGAAGGCTGCAACCGCATGTCTTGCCGCTGTGGTGCCCAGATGTGCTACCTCTGTCGAGTTTCTATCAATGGCTATGACCATTTCTGCCAGCATCCTCGCTCTCCAGGAGCCCCTTGCCAGGAATGTTCCAGGTGCTCCCTCTGGACCGACCCAACTGTAAGTATATGCATGGCAACCCAGTCCCATATATGGGAAAAGAGGCACACATTGTATATACATGACAGGTTCTGATTCATGGAAACATACAAGAAATTACATAGCCCAATAACCACAGGAAAAACTGAGCATGTCATCAAAACAATGCTCATTACAAAATGGGTGTGGTGGGCATGCCTTGTAGCTGTTCTCAGGAGGCCAAGGCAAGAGAATCACTGAGGTCAACTGAGCAACAGAGGGTAGCCCCATCTCAAAGTCTTGTGGGCAAATTCCCCCAGTCCTCTAGGAAATAAACATTTTCTCTGCCATCTGAAGTGTTATGCAGAGCATTGGAGAGTTACCGATGAAAGAGTCCTGCAGAGTTCTCGGGAGCCTCACAGAGAAACAAGACCCCACACTTGTAATTCTAGCTAGCATTCAGAGAATGAAACAGGAGGATTACAAGGTTAAGGCTCTGTAGGGGGATTTGGGACCCTGTCCCAAAAATTTAAAAATGAAAGCAAAACCAAATAATGTGTTATAGTTCTAGAATACAGTATCTTATAGAGATGCAAGAGTAGCTTAATAGCAGCAGCATTTTTGTTTTTTGGGTTTTGTTTGTTTCAAGGCTGGATCTCTCTTTGTATCCCAGGCTGGCCTCAAACTTGGAGAACCTCCTGCCTCTGCTTCCTGAGTGCTGGGATTAAAGGCATACTTCCCCACCCCCACCCAGGTTAATTTTAATTTAAACTTTAATAATTTTATGCTGGGCGGTGGTGGCATATACCTTTAATACATAAATTTTTTTTAGAAAAGCATCATCAACTTAGGTATAAATAACATTGAGCCTAAAATAGTAAGAGTGGCCAGTGAAATGGCTCAGTAGATAAAGGAGTTTGCTTGTGGCCGAGTTTGATCCCAGATGCTATCTGGTAGAAGGAGAGAACCAACTCCTTCAAGCTGTCATCAGACTTCCACATGTGGCATCCACACACACAGGAATAGCAAAGGCTGGTTGTATCTTAGCAGAACAGTTGCCTAGCACATATGGAAGGATCTAGATTCAGCATTCAAAAATAAAAGGGAAAGTGTCTAGAGATACCTTTCACCCTCTGTGAGTCCAGAAGTGGACAGCCCTGGACTAGAGTAGCAGTCCACTAGGGATCAGTTGTTTCTAGCATTCCGATTCACCTTCTAAGAGCTCATGTCTTTAGGATCCTGTATGGCTGGTGGCTAAAAGGGACAGGAAGCCTATCTAACTCAAGAACATTATGCCTCCAGATAGACACTGCTTTTTGTCACCTCTGCTTTGGTTCCATTAGGAGAATCTTTACATGTATTTTAGGTGAGAATGGACTCAGCTAATCTCTTGCTTTGGGAGACAAATGTTCTTGCTATGAGTCAACTCGGTTTATTCCTGCTGGAAGAGATGGGTAGAAAAGTGAAGGGTTTCAGGAAGCAGAGAAGCACACGCCAAGCTGCCAGCTCTCCTGCCAAACCACAGCCTATCCAGATTATGATACTGACATCCCTGATATCTAGTACATGGAGGTGGCATGTTGCCTGTCAAAGTTTGCTTCCATTCATAGGAACCATGTTATTAAGGGATTGGCAAGGTGGCACCATGCATATTGAAGTAACATAACCAGTATGGGGCAACAGTGTACAAAAGGGATTTGTTGTTGAGATGGGTTCTCACTGTGCTGCTCAACCTTAACTTGCAATCCTCCTGCCTAAACTTTCCAAGTAACTAGGATTATGGCCATATGCACATTCCTGGCCAGAGCAGAAATTTGAATATGTATCAACTAATGTTAATGACCAGTTCAGAAAGGTCTACAAAATTCCTCTGTAGTTATTTAAAGATTGTATGCTTAGAACCACATTTTTAAATGGCTCGAACCAAGTTATATGTCATATTTTAGATATGCTGAGGTTTGAATAGTATAAAAAAAAATGCCATATGTATGTCAGTTTTCTCCTAATATGGAAGAGAAATGTGAAAGATTGACTTGTAGAATAAGTTACATGGCTATAGCTGCGGCCATAGACCAATTACCACAGACCAGCTGGCAACCAGGCCTGAGGACTGGGGAGCCAGCATGGCATGGAAAGATGTGGCTTGTTTCAGGGGCTGCTGCTTAGAGTTGTCACACTCTCCAACTCCCAGAAAATCTGTGCCTTAGTGTAGCATCTTCTGGTTGTAACAATTGGCATTTACCCAAGTATCTTGAAAACTGTTCCAGCCAGGAATCTGTCACCCAAAGCAAAGACCTTTTTCTGCCTTTGTTGTGGAAATGTGCGGCATACATACCACAAGCAGCCAGGTCACTAGTTGGCCACTCTGGTAACCATGGAAGTTGACTTAAATACATGTTTTTAAAAAAAGAAGTAGTGCATGCCTTTAATCCCAGCACTCAGGAGGCAGAGGCAGGAGGATGTCTGCAAGTTCCAGACCAGCCTGGTCTACAAGAGCAGGACAGCCTCCAAAGCCACAGAGAACTCCTATCTCAAAAAAAAAAAAAAAAAACAAAACCCCCCCCACAGCCCCCACAGGGGGAAAGCAGTGACGCTCTGGGGGCCAGGCATGCCTACATCAGTAATGCTCTGTTGGGAGCAGGTTCCTGTGGCTCATTGTGCCACTACTAAGTTGAGGAACCAACCTCAGAAATTATCTGGTCTTTTAGCACACAAACCAATGAAACCTCTAGCAAGCCTATCCTCTGTCTCCAATGGGTCTGTGGTTTTTGTGGGTAGAAAGTATAATCTTCCCAAATTGCTGGTTGTGGAGAGGCAGCCTACAAAGGAAGGGGTATACCTCAGGTACTTAGGAGGCCAGTTGAGATAGGCCTGGTCATTCCACCAACTCCTGCCACCACCTCTAACTTGCATCTCTAGAGGTTCAGGAGAAAATGGAGTCTCTTTCCTAAGCTGCAGCTCTTTCTACAGCTGTACTTCATCTCTAGAAACCGTACAAGTAGGTATCACCACACAAGGCTGGTAGTTTAGCAGCCTGTCCTGTGCTTGGAGCCACTGTCTTGTTTACTCCTCCATTCCTCCTCCTCTTCTACATGGAATTGTTTTGTACCTCTTCTGCCATAGCAGAACAGGTACCTGTTCCTGTTTTCTTGTTGAATTACCATCTCGTAGCCTGAGGGAGGTTCTGTGGTCACTCCAAAGTTTGAAAAGAAGGTCAGGCAAATAGCAGTCCCCCTGTAGATGTTGTTCCACTTGTCCCTTTCCCATCAAACCTGAGATCAGCCTGGTTTCCTTGATTCTCACCAGGAGATGGATTAAATTCCAACCCAGCATCTGCTGAGTCCTCTGAGAACACAAAGCCATTCAGAATTGCCAGAGACAAAGCTTGCACTGTCCTGCTCCCAGCCTCTGCTTCATTAACCAGCAGGCCAGGAAGAAGCTCTCATTGTCAGCACGGAATTGTTCTGCACAGCTTGGGGTGAAGAGAAGTTTGAGCCCTTAATGACTAGAGGTGGCTTAGGATCCTGAGTGGACTCTGTACTAAGGGCTCAGATGGCGAATAGTAGTTCTCTTTGTTTGCTACCACAAATACCTTGCCACAAATATGTATGCCAGAAACAAGTCATGAAGCAAGCTGCCTTTAGGAAGAAGGGAAAACAGGAGTGATGTGGGACAAGGGACATAGTTCAGAGGTAGAATACTTGCACAGCATGTACAAGACCCTAGATTCAAACCCCAGTGCTGCCCAAAAGAGGGGAGGGGCAGGTGTTGCTCAGCAGTGGAGAGTTGTTCAGGGAAAGGACTGAATGCCAGAGTTGAATTCTGCTTGTCCACACATGGCTGGGAATGGGGCAGCCAAGGCCAGGAAGCTGTATTTGACTAGAGCTGTGTTCACAAGAGTATCCCTTGTCAGGCTGGACTCTGGAATGATGAGATTGATGGCTGGCCTCAAACTCACAGAAATCCACCTGCCTCTGTATCCCAAGTGCTGTGATTAGAGGCATACACCACTATGCCCAATTTATTAACCCATTTTTTCAGTATTCTTGCTCTCTCATACCTGGCTCTAAGCTGTTCCTAGACTTACAGAGTCTCTCCCACTTCTTCCCCTTTGGCCTAGAATCAGATGGTCTGACTGCAAGCATGTACTAAGGACTACCCATCAGTCACATGGTATAGCCCCCCCCCAAAAAAAAAGGTGAGAGAAGAGAACCTCACTGTAATACCATGTTGCTGTATGTCTTCATCTATAGCATTAAAATAACTAAAACAATCTTACCTAAAAAGCAGTCAGCATCCATGTCCCTCTTGATCCCCAGTTTCAAAACCTTCTAGCTAGCTGTACATGGTGGCATACTTCTTTAATGCAGGCACTTGGGCTGCAGAAGCTGGTCAATTCTCTGAGTTCAGGCCAGCCTGGTTTACATAGCAAGTTTCAGGACAGCTGGGGCTACATGATAGACTGTCTCAAAATAAACCAAAAAACCTTCCAGTCATCAGTTCCAACAGTTGGCCTTGACTTTTATTTCTAGTCACTGCCTTTAATCCAATTGTTTCTATAAGAAAACACAAAGAGGAGGGTGAAGAGAGTGGGTGTCATCATTCGAAATGTCTCTGAAACTTCCCTCAGTACACAGCACTATGTTTTTCAAATGTTAGGTGGGATTTTGACAGCATTGCAGGGAGGAGCATTGCTTTCCCACTTTTGCAGATTAGGAAAACTGTCCAGGATTCTGGACTTAGTAAAGGCAGAGTGAAAGCCCAAGTCTCCTGCCTATCAGGCGTCCTCCACAAAACACAGGAGATGGCCTAAAAGTGCCCCTGGGGTCACTCCTGTGAACTAGACAGGCCTTGTAGTAGGGTGGGGACTCATTGGCCTTACCAGATGAGCAAGCTGCAGATGGTAGGAGAAGCCCTTCAACTCCACCTCCTTGATGGGGTACTGGGTCACTAAAGAAATCTTGTCAGGGTGGGCAGCGGGCCTTGCCTGAACACTTGTACCTGGAGTCAAACGGACACATTCTACATGCCTTGGGGCTTTG